GCGTTCCCTAAACATTCCATACCTCATTCTACCAGATGACCACCTGGCTACTGCCCCTTCGGTCCGTTAAATCAACAAGCACTGCTCCAGGGATGAAGTCTCTGCTCTTTGCCCCTGGTTCGCATCCTCAATTGTGGCCTACGCCACCATCTCCCCTAGAAGTGCTCCTTGTCTTACAATTCTCCTATCAATTCTGTGTCGTACAGGTAGCGTCCTCAAGCCTGTGTCCTTGAGACTGTGTGCTCTCTAGACTTTATGCTCAAACCTGTGTGCTTTAAACTGTGTCCTCAAGTCCGCATCCTCGGCCTGTGTCCTCTGGACTGTGTTCTCCAGCCTGCATCCTTGAGCCTGTGCCTCTAGACTGCTGTTTCTCTTTAAACCAAACCTCTCTCATCTTGCTTTTCCCCCTACACACTTTCTACCATCTCATTATAAGCTGCAACTTTGCTTTCCCTGACACCACGGGTCATTAGTAGGGTAGGAAGCAGATTTAAGGGAGATGATTTCAGTTGGAGCCTTGTTGAGCTTGGGCTGCCTGTGAGGTATTAATCTGGAGATGACTCATAGGCAATTGGACATGCGGATCTGAGATTCAGGAATGAAGTCAAGGAGTCATCTACATGCAGGGACAGTTAGAAAAAAAACACCCAACCTCAACAACTCTGGAGTAGTTGGAGATTGCTGAGGTACCACAAGAGGAAGAAGAGAAAAGGGCTGAGAGCAGCAATCCTTGAAGAACGCATTTAAGAGGTAGGTAGGTGGAGGACAGGCTGGAGGGATGGAGAGAAACAAGAGGAAAGCCAGATGGCTGCGGAGTTATGGAGGTAATGGGAGGAGAGACAAGGGAGAAATCAACACTGCCAGCCACCATAGAGACAGCAATGAGATAAGGATGAAAGTGGTGGCTGAGCTTGGCCACTACATTATGGGTCTGAAATTTGTGACCTAAGCAGTTTCAGAGAAGAGAGGAAATAAAAACCTAACTATATAGGCTGAGGAGCAAAGGAAAGGTGAGAAGGTAGACATGGCTACAGACGCTTCTTTCGAAAAGCCTTGACTGGAGGAAAGGAGTCAGGTGATAGCTAAAAGACAATGCAGGATTGGGTGGGGGTGGGGGGTGGGTTCTCTCCAGTTTTTTTGGTCCTTATTGTTGCTATTAGTTTAAGATGGATTCAATCTGAGCATGTTACCAATCTGGGAGCCAGAAGCCTATAGATGTGGTAAGGATGAGAATTCCAAAGAGGATAGTTAATGGAGCAAGAATCTGGAAGAGATGAGAATTAAGAATTTAGCTGGAGTTTTAGCCTTAAACTTATTTCTCTGAATCTTGAAGAAAAGCAGCCCAGGGTAACTTGATTTTGGAGTTCTGGCCTAAGTGCTTCAGCGTCTTTCCTGAAGAAGGAAGAAAGGTCATCTTCTAAGAATGAGGGAGAAAGGACTGGAATCGCGAGTTTGAGAAAAGTGGCGATGGTTTGCAAAAACATAAATGAATAGGAGAAGGGTCCCTGAGGACAAGAACAAAATTGTCAGTCCATCATTTATGGTCCACTGAGACAGTGTGTCCCCTAATCATGCACCCACATGCATGGAGTTCTTGAGTTTCCGGGGCTGTACTCTGCCACATCTATACTCTCTATTTAGAAGTAGAAAAACAATTTTGGGAGTTTGCTTGTTGAGTTGTTGAATAGAATTTGTGTTCACTGTAATATATGCTTATTCTAGATGTGGATTTGTCTTTCTTTCCTGCCATGCTTCTGCCATATATGGACTTACTCAATGCCTTATTCATCATCATTGCATCCAACGCAATATTGCTCCTCTCAGGGACAGTTATTTTATGGGAAAACTGGTAAGGCCACGTGTGCATGCTCACAGCATTCATTGTTCTTACAGTATATCCTTCATCCGGAAACAAAGGGCCTCATAGAATGGGGGAATGGCCCATGAAGGCCCAGTTACAGTGCTACTTGGGAACAATGACTAGCAAGGTGGTGGAATGTGGCATATGCTCCAAATCAGAAACAAATGAATAGGAGTGTTTCTCCCTTAGCCAGATGCATGGCCATAGGAACTAAGTAGCAAAATATCTCTCACCGCTACATCTGATGACCCGTTTGCAAAATATCTGCTTCCTACCTCTGAGACTTTGAGCTGTGGAGCTTTAGAACTCATAGTTCACCAGAGGACACAATCATTTTCCCACTGAACCAGAAGCTGAGACTGCCATCTAGTCACTTTGGGCCCTGGTGCCATTGAAACAATAGGCAAAAAAACAAAAACAAAAAAAGGAGTTATCTTTTAGCCAGCATGATTGGCCTTGATGAACAAGGTGAAAAAACAAAACAAAACATGTTATTATACAATCGGGGCAGGGAGAAAGATGTCTGGAAAGCAGGGGATCCTCTGGGGCACCTCCTAAAATGGTCATACCTATGGTAACAATTAATGAAGTCTGTAACAACCCCAGACAGGAGAGACCATCATAGGCTAGACCCCTCAGAAATAACTGTTTAGGGCACCCCACTAAGTAAAGAGTCCTGACTGACTGAAGTATTGACTGAGGGCAAAGAAATTGGTAGAGAAGGAAGAAACTATAAATACCAATCAACTATAACTTTGACCATTTACAGGAATGAGAACTGCAATATCTACCCATAGTTTCTTTTGTTCTCTCCCCCCCGCACCGGCTTATAACCATATAAATATAATTTCTTTTATCTCTTCCTCTCTTTCCTGTACTGTTGTGGTTGTGATGGCTATCTTCCTAATCTAGTCCATAGATTAGAGGACAGTAACACTGGATTGTAAGTGAACTAAGGGGGAATGACCATTGCTCAGAGATGGATGCTCTGACCAGTAAGACTTTGGAGGAGAGGGTAAATATGCATATGGGTTTGACCATACACAAGCCAGTTACTATTAAACCACATGAGTTTGCCATTTTTAGGTCAAAAACTCAAAAATCAGCAATTTCATAAGATCCAACCTAGTACCTTAGCTTAGGCAGGAATGTCTGTTGTTGCCGTTGTTTGGAAATTTAAGTAAAGGGAAAGACGTGCATGAGTGTTGGGTACCAAAGTGGTGGATTGTGGCATTACTAGATATTAGCTTGCTCAACACATTCTAACCCTCTCTTGTCCTGTTGGTGTTAGATTTCTCAGACTCCCTAGCAGTGAAGATTCCAGATGTGATTTAGGCTCTACCATTAAATTGTACTTGTGTTGGTTGTCAGTTATGAATTGACTTAGGTGGCAAGAAAGTTTGAGTACAAGACTTCCATTTGTCCGATGTGGATCAAGGTAGAGAGGTCTGTTCCCGGAGCCAGCAGCTACAATGCTGGCTCTCTGTTTTGTTGCTGGGTCTAGTGACTCCCTGATCATATCAAAGGCAATGTAACTCTGGAACGAACACCATCTCACTATGCAGAAGCAACAGCTCACTTGTCAGTTCAGTTCTGCAGTGTGATTTTGGGACTCATTCCTGGAAATTCTATCTCGACTAATGCATGTTTATCAGCCTTCTCAATGATTCTATGAGGGATGCCTACCATTTAATAAAATGCTCAGTGCTTACACTGGCTAGAGTGGATTCTCTTGTTTGTACCCGAGAATCCCATCTAATATACAGGATATCTGTCCCTCAGCCCTGAGTTCTGGCCCAATATTCCACTGCTCCTTCCACCCGCAATGATGAGACTCTGGCATCCAGAAGAAGGGTATCCACCATTCTTCCCTCACCTGTTCTTTACCTCCTCCCCACACAGCCCGTGAATGTGTGACAAGGTTACGGAATGAACAGTACTCTGGTCAATCTCATCATCCCATTTAATGATCTTCAGACCGTGCGCCTTGGAAACCTGGGAGAGCACAGAGAGTTTGCAGGAGTTTCCCACTGAAGTATTTTCCATCAAATGCTGAAGAGATCAATTGCCCAATTCTCCATTTGTTAAAAACCACTTCCCATGTCAAGATTCTGCCTGAGATTTCTTTGAAAAGGAGAGTTCTAACACTAAAATATTTTTAAGCCACTGTTCTTGTTCCTAACCACTGCACTAAAAATGAGGACGACACTTAGATACTTCTAAGGAACGACCCTGAAGCCGCTCTGTAGGCCCATTGCTTTATAGACAATGAATCACAATGACCAATGACACCGATTCCTTCAGTACCTACTGTTTACCTGCAATAAGCCCCATGCCAGGCTAGGTGCTGGGGACACAAAGGTGAATCATATTTAGTTCCTAACTTAAGGAGCTTCCAGCCTAATATTTTGTATTGGAAGTTAAAGCTGTATTGAGCTTTTTTCACAATACTTAATAAAAGTGCTCTGTTTTCTCTGAAACCCAATAGATTCACAATCAGATGCCCTGAGTTCTAGACCAAATTCTCTTTGTCTCTTCATCCCTCAGTTTCTCATTGGTGGTATGTAGCTAATAACTCACTAAGTTACTGTGAGGGGCAAACGGACTAGTGTAAATATACAATAGCGTAAAATATCTATGAGTGTAAACTAGTGGATGTAAAATCATGCTGTAAATGTTTAAGTGCTACACAAATAGAAGTCATTCTGCTTATTGTGACTCGAATCTTTCTCTGAAGTGTCCCGTCTGGCTCACCCGAGCCCAGTGGCCACTCTGCTGTGGGCTGACGCAAACAGCAGAGGCTTTGACCTAACTCTTAGCTTTGACTTTGGAAATTGATGCATCTCCATTTCCTCGTCACTAAAGCAGGGCAAGATTTCCTCCTTAGGAAATATTCACTGTGCAGAAGAAGTGAAATAACGCAAATACCGTGCCTCATTCAGTGCCTGGAACACGGCAACTGTGCAAAAGAAATGTTAGCTGCCAGCTTCCCCAAATTCCCCTGAGCCCGCCGTGCTCCGCTGTCTGGATCTATCCCATTCAACCTTCCAAATGTCATTGATTGCACTGGAGCAACAAATAAACTTTTCTAGGCTTCACTGGGCACTCTCAGTATAGCTTCTATTTAAGCCAGACTTACCACCACATTGGGAATTCTTTAAAGTGGGCAAGTGATCCAGAAGCGATTCCATTTATCCAATCCACTCAACAAATATTTATTGAGGGCTCCCCACAGGCTTCACACAGGGTGCTTGTAGAAGGAGAGAGACTTCAGGAAAGATCAGGTCACTATTATTTCTCTGGCAAGAGCTACAGAGTGAGGAGAACACCCTGTGCATGATAAGCCTGTCAGAAGACAATTGTTTCCAGGGCCAAGTGGTAAGAAACAAAAGGGCATCTCCAGCCTCAGCCTGGGGGGGTGGGGGATGGGGCGTGGTGTGGGAGCACTGGCTGCCTCCTGCACAGTGGAAATAACTGGCCAACACAGCACTGACAGAAGCAGGAAGCCAGTTCGGCCCACCAGACCACACTAAGTTTATTCATGTGCCAGGAACATAGGGCGTTGAATGAAATCCAAGCCGTGCACCTGGATAACAGAAGGTGACAACACAACAGACAATGAGCTCTGTCCCCAGGGCCCTAGCATCCTCCCGGTGATTTGCATCTAAAAGGTTCAGAGAAGAGTGAGAGGCTGGCTGTGGGCTATGGGAAACACTATGTTATTTCCTTGGGGGGGTGGGGGGAGGAGAAGGAAGGGCCAATTTCATCTGTGCTTAGCATAAAGGAAGGGTACTGCCAGCTGTTTGCTTTGGAACTGGAAGTGGACACTTGTCAGGCAGTCATTCATCCTGGGAGCACATCCTGCCACTACAGCGTGGAGGCTGCCCACTCTCTGTGGCAACCTCTGAGCAATTCAAGCCACCAGCAAAGTCTGTGTGATGACAGACACCGGCCTGAAGGCTCAGCCAGACTTCATAGCTGACTCCTTGGCCAGCAAGGACCTCAGGGATGCAGCTAGACACCTACAACTTCAGTGAGTTAATTCTGAAAATGACGAGTTGGCACTTCGAGCATCTTACCCCCCAAAATACGATTAGAATCAAAGGACATTCAAGACATCACTCAGAATTTCTGTAAAGTTCAGATCCCTATCTCTTCTGTTAGCAGTATTGACTTTAATAACTCAAGAAGGTGTCCCTTTTTTTTTTTTTTATGGGCTGCATAGAGCTAAGAGTAAGACATATTTTTTTTTCAGGGTAAGATTCACCCTAAGCTAACATCAGTTGCTAATCTTCCTCCTTTTTTCCTCCTTTGCCCCCTCAAAGCCCCAATACCTAGTTGTGTATAGTTGTAAGTTCTTCTGGTTCTTCCGTGTGAGCTGCCGCCACAGTATGGCTCCTGAGAGATGAGTGGTGTGGTTCCGAACCCAGAACTGAACCCGGGTCACCAAACAGGAGCACACAGAACTTTAACCACGAGGCCATTAGGGCTGGCCCAGGTACCAACTCTTAAAAAGAGCCAAGTGCAAATATGGCTAAAATAAATAACCCTTGATCACAGTTACCACCTTAGTTTTAGTTCTGTTTAGTTAGAAACAGACAAGTTAAAACTCTCTCCCAAATGCACTGGAACCATCAAATAATTGGGTGTTTCTCAGCATAATTCTAAATCAACCTATTACTGCAAAAAACCCTCACAATCATTAAATATCACAAGAAAGAGGAAAAAAGTGACCCAGGCCATGGAGGTTGAGTTTGGGGGATAGAATTGCAAAAGAGGATCTGTTGGTAATGATAAAATCCTAATAAACAACAAGCAGTTCTCTTCTCCCTTTTTTCTTTGAATCTCAAGCAACAGTGAGTAGCTCAAATTCCAGAAGGCGACGGAGACACTCAGTGCTATATTAGACAATCCGTACTGAACAGGAAGCACCCACACACCTGTGCGGGATCTGCTCCGCTACCTGGTGAGCTGATGTTCTGCAGTGGGGCGGTTTGCATTATTTAGAAGCATAATCAGCTGGTGAGTGTGAATGAGGTCATAAATTCTGCTGTCTCATCATCCCTTTTGTCTACATAAAGTCATCTCAAAATCCTCCCCAAGTATTTCTCAGAGCCCTCTGGGAATGTCTTTCATGTCTGTGAACAGTTCTGGGCTTGTTGTTTTCACTGGGCTCGGCTGGGAGTCCATCTGGTCTCCGCCGGGGAAGGCTGCCCTGCCCAGGGCCTGTCTTCCTGTGTCCCCAAATCTGTCGTGCCAATGTCGCACGTAAGAGTTGCATTTCTCTAGCCCTCCCTGTCCTAGAGCCAGGCTGGTTCCCTGCAGAAATACAGAAATGGGGAGGAGGCTGCTACTTTCCAAAGGGATTGGGCTGGACACCCCTCCATTGCGGCCGTCTCTTCCCTCTGCCCCCCAGGACATCTAAGCACCTAAAATTTTCTACTAAAGGATCCCCTTCTGGGTTCCCAGGACACTTAGAAATAATTCCCATATGGTTTCTTACCAGCTGGATATTAGCAATCTGAAAATATATTTTTTAAAAAAGGATCTCCTTCTGGGCCCTCCTCCCATGCAAGGCAACTCACCTAAGGACCCCTAGGGGCCCCATACGCCCATTCTCAGTTTCAGCTCAGCCAGGACCACTCTGAGAAACCCAAACACTTCACAAGGACCAGCGAGGCAAGCATTTCAGAGAAGGCTCCCAGAGGAGGTGGGACCTGAGTGAGAGTTTGAAGCAGAGGAGCCAAATTGGTAGAAAAGTGGGTGGAAGGATGCTACCAGAGCTCAAGGACTCACTGTATCCGTTTAGCTATGAAGAAGAAAAAAGAGGGAATGGCCAAGGGCACCAGTGGTTCCTGGGAGCCAAGCTTGGGGAAGGTTCTTTCCACAGGTGTTATTTCATTTAATTCTCAAAGAACCTTATTAGTTCCTGTTACCCGTGTTTTACAGACGAGTAAACCAAAGCTTTGACAGATCAAGTAACAGCATCTGTTACACCGTGGATTACAGTTTGGTAAAAGCTACGCCAGAGTTCTTCTCAATCCAGGAGTCAGGATTCCAGAAAACTCATAGGGTAGCTCTGAGAGTCTCTTCTCTGGGGTAACAGGGGTGAAGTGGGCTGGAAGAATGCAGGCAATTGTCTTCCCGACTTCTTGCACACTCGTGTCCTTGGTCCACACCGCAGAGCTCCTTTGGGCACCATGGTGTCTGCAAGACCATTGTTATTTAACAGGTCGAATGAGGTACAAGGTGTCAAAACCCTAAAGAGGAGCATGGGATGGACAATATTTTATATCCTCTTTTTCCGGAGCAGAGAGAGAAGCCTCAGAAGAAAACGAAGCTATTAATAGCTCTGTTCTAAATATAACTATTTTTATACCTCCCCTGGAGCTGCTTCAGAGGAGACACCATTCCAGGGCTTTATTTGGATTGGCGTATCTAAATTCAGGCTAGAGGGATTATTTAAAGCTATTTAAAGTCCTAAACCACGGATAGGAATGGAACCCAGCAATGCAGGGGATGAGCAAGCAGGTTTCTGGGTTCCTTAGTCACTTATGCAGATAATAGTGTACTGAGTATCTCCTATGGGCAGCACCTTTCTGGGTGCTGGGCTAAGGACAGGGGCAAGATGTAAAGATAAATAACTCAGGGTCCCTACCTTCAAGTGAAAATCAATCTCTCTCTTTCTCTCTCCCTCCTTGAAACAGCTTTGTTTCTTCTTCAATAAACAAAGGAGCTTATACAGTGACATCATCAGGATATCTTCCCCTATTGAAAACACGCAGTCTTAACAACCTGGGCCCATCTCTACCCTCAACATTTTTCAAACTCACTCACAGTTTGAAAGAACTATACTCAAGTTTTAAAGAACAGGTATACCAATGGGTTAAAAAAATTGCCAGTGGTGAAACCAGGAAATGCTCTGCTGTACTTTGCAAATCCCAAACACAATTTTCTCTGTGTACAAATGAACACGGAAGTGTGGAGTGGAACAAAGATGACCCTGTAACACAATCCTCTCTGTGCAAAGAAGGATGTGTGAGTGGGGCTGTGCGCTCCTTGACCAGAACTTTGCTCAGGGGAGTGGGGTCACGCCTCGGCCTCTGACCACAGTTTTGTTGGAGGTCAGCAGCATCTCAGGGCCCGAGGAGCGGAATGGGCTACTAGAAAAGAACTTTACTAACGCAGAATCAAAATCAAGTCTGCTTTTTTGTGTGGCAGAAAGGAAAGAACACTAGACAAGGGGTCAGAAGGTTTAAATTTGAATCATGGCTGTGCAGCTCGCTGGCCACGAGTTCCCAGGCAGCTCACATAAGCAATTTGAGCCTCAGTTTTCCTATATTTAAATGGGAGGGGGTGGTAGCAACACCAGACCTGATGATCACAAAGCAGTATTGTGAGATTCTAAGGATAGGATACATTTGAAACCACGCTGTAAGCTGCCTGATGCATCACAAATAAGAGATTCCCATTATTATTGGTATAATAGTCTCCAGAACAGTATATTTAGAAAATTCAAGTAATCCAGTTGTGATTCTGTTTGTCTCCTACCATTTCCCTTCTGTGGAAGTAAAACGTAGCTACCTGCTAAATGGAAGTCATGCCCAACAAAGAGAAGGGCAAGTATTTATGAGTTTTATTAAGGGTCTGACCATCCTGTTTCCATCTAGTGTCATGTAAATACTAGTTATTATTAGGCATGCTGCTTACTAAAACAACAACCTGGACTCGATTTTTAGTCTTTCCAAAAACGTGTCTTCTTTTCTTCTGCTAGAGGCAGAGAAGCCTGCAGGAGGTAGGCCCCGTGAGGCCAAGGAAGAAAGCTCAAAGCTTAATTCTGTCCCAGCATTGCCACATTGATGTCACAGATGCCCTTAGAGGAAGCTGCAGCTAAGCCCCTACTGTCCCTGCCTGCCTTGTCCTGGGCTCAGGAATCCTAGTTCCTGGAGCGAAGCTGACGGTTGCTATGAGAATGGGGCCATTTGTCCTCAAAGAGGACTCCAGCAACTACCCACTTCCTATTTTATGGTTAGTAATTCACGCTTAGCTTTCAAAAAGCAGACAGGCACTCAATCTATAAAATCCTCATCCAAACACCATCTCAATGGTTTTCTTTTGCCCAAGAGAAAGCCCCAATTCCTTAGCGAGGCATGCAAGGTCCCTCACAATTTATTCCCAATCTGGCTTTTCAGCCCCGTATCCATCCATCCATCTACCTACCTATCTATCTATCTATCTATCTATCTATCTATCTATCTATCATCTATCAATCATATATCCATATATATATAAATAAGTATATGGGAAAGAATGTCTAAGTTCCAGGGGAACACGCTGATGTAAATTGTGTGTGAAACAGTATATTGATTTGTGCATTTATTAACTCTAATAGCCACACAAACTTATTCAGATGCAAAACGTAGTTGTTCGGATATTACTCATACCCTTTCAATGTGGGCAGAAAAAGCTCTTGGCAGCATTATCTCCTCATACAGTCACTATTTCTTGTTAAGAAAAGTTGAATTTTAACCTTTTAAATCATTCTCACTTGCAACCCTCTCCGCTTGCCTTGTACTTCTCGAATACTCATCTGTTGTTCAAAACACTTTTGTGTTCTCTCTCAGAAGGTTGGATGTCCTCTTTCTGCCTTTGTTTTAACTCCTGGTGAGTTTGTGTCCACACTCAAATGGTCAGGTAGCTACAGAAACCCCCCAGGAAGTGCCCACCTTGTGCGGATTGTCCTGTGACAGCCACACTCTACTTTTGGGTCTGTTCCAAACAACTTTGTTAACTCATGCTCTCATACTTTCCATCTCAGATACACATTCAAATGTCAACTGACCAAAATTTGCTGTAAATAATGCGTTCAGTTGGTCAGCTCCCTAGTTACACCCATCTGGATGCTGAGATCTGAACACCATCACCTTCCGCTCTAGTTAGTTCCTTGCAGAGGACCCAACAACCCCTGACTGTGTCTTTGGTCTGTTTGTGACCTCCACCTATATTGTTGCACTTCGTTGCCTTTGCTATCAGCATCCTATCTTCCTTCAAACTCCAGCATCAGTCCCTCTTCCTCTGAGAAGCTTTCCTGGCCGCTCACAGCCAGATCTGATGCAGTGTAAGCAGCCACAGCACTGTACTCCCTGCCCTGATTTGGCACTTAGTGTACTTCCATCTGTCTGTTGTTATTCTTTCTGCAGTGAGATGATAGCACCTGGAGGGCAAGGATTGTCTGTC